ACACACACACACACACACACTCTTGGCCACTCTTCACTTTCGTTTCGTCCCGTTAAGATTTCGTTCGACTCGGCCACGCATCGGCATCCGGTGGTCTCCGTTTCGCGGATCGTAAGAATGGGACGATCCTGGTTTCGACCGTGTGTCTTCGTCAGCTTCGAACACGACGATCTCTGAAGATCTCTGAACCGTATTGTTTCGCGTCAGTGTTGTACGGAGTGTGCCGAATCGAGCCGTTGTCGAAACAAGTGTGTAAGACACGTTCCCATTGTCAACTAGGTAAGACGAGAAAGAGGAGAACGAGCGCACTAGGTACCGATTAGCCATCGTCAGTCTGTTCGATTTTGTTCGAGACTCGGACGAAGGAACCCAAAGAGAGAGGGAGACAGAGATAGAGAGAAGAACAGGTAGCGAAGAGAGTCGACGATTTCTCAATTAACTTACGAAAGAAAGAGAGAGAGAGAGTCTATGGACTGTGTGTGGTACCTTTTAAGTTCGATAACGGTAAATACAGATCGAGCTGGAAGTAGCGGGCTCGCATTCGCGCGCCGTTGCTCCCCTGATGATGATCTTCGCTTGAATTATCCTACCGAAAGCACTCACTCGATCATAAAGACCTGTCCATTTGCTTAACGTTCTATCGCGTACGTCCGCGTGACGATAAATCGAACGATGTTTTAGCTTAACGATAGAAAGTTACGCTGCCGTAACGGGATTCTTTTTCGGGCTAGTGGCTAATTGTACCTTCGCTGACGAAATTTCATTCTCTCGGGATTTTGTCGAATATCGTGAATATCGCGATAACAGAAGATATTATTACACGTGGAGAATTATTGAATGCAAAATTCGTGACGGATGCCTCTTTGTATAATTTCGAATGTTCAGGTGGAAAACGAATTTTCAGACGTTTTTACGCACCGTCGAGAAATTTAAGATTCCAGAAATGTACGAAATGTATTTTTCAGAGTATTCAGTTAGGTACGAATTTTCATTTAAAATTGATTTCTCTAGCTTCTCTTCGTAAAAGTATAGAACTGCATGAACATTT